CACACACACACACACACACACACACACACACACACACACACACACTGCACCTGAGACAGTTTAGTAAGTTTCACACTCCTCCCCTCCTTCAACCACTCAGAACAAAGGTTATTTGAAGACTGCTGGTCTTCACTGCTGATCAGTCAAGTATTTGTGATGCTGAGACTCATCTGATGCTTTCATTTTAACACAGCAGCAAACTAGTAAGCACCAAAAGTTGTAAAAAAAGCTACATTTATCTGACCCTCAGTAGCACTTCACTGAAAAAAACAACAGTTTTTTAACCCATAAAAACCCACTASTGTACTTGAGACCTGTCTTGGTCTTAAGACAGGTCTTAAGATCACTTTTTGGTGGTCTTGGTTAGGCCTGTCACAATAACAACTTTTACTGGGCAATAAATTGTCTCAGTTATTATTGCAATAACTAATATAATGATATAACCCCCCTGTATACAAAAGTTTACATTAAAATTTACATAGTGTAAAAAGAACAAAAACAACTGTTGGCAATCCCAAGGTGTTGCCAGCTGTATGAAGGTGTCACAAAACTGAAGACACTCCTCTGGCTAAAGGCCTGTTCACAGGCTCTCATGCTACAGAGGCTAGAGACCATGCACCTGGCAAATACCTGATGCCAGAGTTCATTTCTCTCTATGCTAAAAATTAAAAAAAGAGGGAGACATGAAGAAAACAACAAAAAAAAAATCAAGCAAATGAAATTTATTGTCTTCATTTTAATTTATTTTTCTCGATTTAATTTATCATACAATTGATTGATTTATTGTTTATTGTGACAGGCCTAGTCTTGGTCTTGTCTTGGACTCAGTCTAGGACATTGAGGACTCTGTAATTTATTGCAAGATCACAACTGTGGAAATATCCCTAAATTGCCAGGATATTGTTCAATTAATTTGTTAACATCCTTGCTTTCATTGGTTTTAAAACGTTCTGAATCAAATCCAAGTGTGACTCATTAATTACGTATTTTTGTTACGGCTGTCAACCACCCCGCCTTTCACTCGCTCGCGGTACTCCAGGAAAGTGAGCAGTGGTTGTCTGGAGGCGGGAGAAGATGTCTRCAAAATCTTCAGTAATACAGTTCAGCTACATAACTTATAAATACAGTATTTGTAAAACAACATCCAGGAAAATAAATACAGACACTTGTAAATTCTGGAGTGCTTTGCTTTCAGAGACAGTGGGAACTACTGTAGGCCAAACTTTTATTGTTACTTAGAAAGGAAACAAAAGAAAACTGTAAGTGATGTTAGCAAAGCGAGCTAGATAATATAAAAATCTGCCTCTGTACCAAAATACGCTGCCCGCCCTCACACAAATAAATGTAGTCAATATTAGCTGTATATTAAGTTATCTGTCTACAGTACTGTGTTTTTTAGGGAACTACTTTTGTTTTGTTTTTCTGGTCTTGGTCTCGACTTGGTCCAACCCCTGAAGTTTGGTCTTGTCTGTCTTGAAACACTCTGGTCTTGGTCTGGGGTTAGGTGGTCTTGACTACAACACTAGGTCTTTGGATTTTACCATGAAATGGGTCTGGGTTAATGGAGGACGACGTTATATATTTTYATAAACAAAGAACTGTGTCTTAAGTCTTAATTCAGTCAGATTACAAGTCAGCATTTACCTAATTTCTCATATTCATGTGTCTCCAGCTTGTTACCAACCTCTGCTCTGTGAGAAATAAGYTTTCCTCTTACAGACATGAGACACATGTGAAGTGGTGACTCTTTGGRCTGAACATGACCTTGTCTGGTTGGTTGTGTTAGACCTGTGCCCAGGGTGAACCACACCTCTCTATCAGTGGAGAGTTACATTCGCAGAATTAGTTGTTTGTCTATCCAACCCATTCTCACTCCCAACTCGTCACATATSAATGCTTTTCCAAGGTTCCCTCTGCGTCCAGTTTTGACGCGTCTGGTACCCCCCTCGCATCAGTTATTGATGACATGGGGCAGAATCCGTTGTCATTAGGGCTGCACGATATTAGAAAAACCTGCGATGTGCGATATTGGT